TTTCAATTAACCCCACCTGTGTTTACCGGCCAGGTTCGCACAATAAACTAACTAACTCAGTAGCTTTCCAGAGTTACTAAGAGTTCAAATAAATAATGTAATGACAGTTCCTGGCAGTGCCCATTGTCCTGAGAACAGAGTACTTATACATCTTCCCCCACCATCGCTTCTTCCCTGTTCTACCATTTTGGAGCTAGAAAGGTAAGTATTGCTTAATGATAGGTTTGGTGGCTATTTGGCTGGGCTGCAGCAAAGGGATCATTTACATAATGGTGATTAGGCAAGAATTCATGTGTTTACTTTTGAAAGACACAAGAACCTTTCTTCAAAAGAAAGTTGGAAACCCCGCATGTAGAATCGTGAAAACAGAGCTGCTCTCGGTGGTGTTGGGTGAGAAGATAGAAGCCCTTGCAAGTGTTGGTATTCCCAAAGGGAATCTGTCTAATATGCCTGACTCCTGTGCTCACACACGGAAACCACTGCCCTGGGGAATTTTTTTCACGTCTGTAAATGATGTGGCTGTCTTTTCAGCAAGTCAGGGGAGGAGGAGGCACATGAGAGTGTCTGATAAGCACTGCTGGAAGAATGATCTAGATGGATGTCTTTCAGGTGTCTCCTTGTGAGCGGTGCCGCTGTGAAGCCAGTGGAGAAGTGCTGTGCGCAGTGTCCGCATGTCCTCAGACAGAGTGTGTGGACCCCGTGTACGAGCCTGACCAGTGCTGTCCGATCTGCAAAAACGGTATGTGAGACATTGCTTCCTGAGAGTGTGCCTCCCGCACACAGTATGCCCATGTAGTGTTCACACAACTTCCCATTAGCTGAGGAAAGGCCAGACTTGTGGATATAAGACTTTAATATGTGTTCACATGAACTAAAGCATGCATGCGCACGTGTATGTGTGTGTGTGTGTGTGTGTGTGTGTGTGTGATTTGAGGCCTTAGGGTACAATCTAGAGTTGTTCTAGTGAGGCATGACATTTTCTGTTATTGGTGTCAGCCATGTATGTCCTTTGGAAGTTAAGAAGTTCTTTCAGGGAGAAATTTAATTCCACCATCAGGAGAATCATTTATTTTAATTTAGCATTGTTTGTTCTTACAAAGCAGTGGCGGTATCTCTTTTTGCAAGACAATTCAAACATGCTGGTTGGACTCATTTCCGTTTCATTAACAAGTGAATTAAACTTGGAACATAATTGAATATTTTTCATAAGCAAATTAGGCAGGAAGAAAGCTCCCTTTTATTGCCAGAGAGATTGGAGGGTGGATCAAAAACCTACATGCATTATTAAAAAGAGATCACAGGATGTCCTTGATCATAACTGATGTAGGTAAGGTGCTTCTTTTTTCTTGGGTAAAGAGACTTTCTTAAACTTGGGATCTGGAGTTGTTCTGGATACACTTTAAGAGGATATTTGACCCAAATGTGGTCTCAGAATTCATACTTTAACTACCAAGTATTAGAAGACTTTCCCTGGCAATAGGGATTGGACTCTTTATTTGTTGTCCCAAGGCATGAAGCTAGGACTCTTCAGAGATCTCAACATACTCTAGTCATCAGAGTCTGAGCACCTCCTGGAATTGCTGGTTAGTGAAGTGTTTCATGTACCCTGCTGTTAACCACTGGTTTTCTGGATAGTATCCACTCAGCAGTGCCTTTAAAAATGAACTGGTAATCTCCCAAAGATCACAGCCATTGAGACGCATAGGGAGTGCAGTTCCACTTTACAAAGAGTGCCAGAAGTAGGAATGGACGCAAAGATATTTGATTTTAGTTTTTGACCATTTCAGAGAAAGAAGAGGCTAATTTGTGAAATTTTCAGTTTTTCATTTTTGGGGTCACTAGACCACAGCTTGATAACCATGTGATGTGGGCATTATCGAGCGGTTGGCTGGGGGTCATCAGAGACATTGGATAGGTAGTCAGATAGGGGTGCTATTCATATTCCAGGCAACTCTGAGAGTCATCTCTGCCAACACTGTGTAGGTTCGGAGCCTTTACCAATGTATCCACAGAGCTGGATTCTCGGCAACAGATCATAGAATTTTTAAAATAAATAATCGGGAAAAGAAATAAATGTTTATTGAAGAGGGATAGAACCAAATGCACAAGATCACTGATGAAGGAGTGTCATAATTATGACGACAAGATCTTCCAGTCCTTTGAATGTGGCCATGTCAAAATAAAGCTATGGAGTATGTTTTGTGTGGGGTTTGCATTTCATCTGTATCTATTGATTATGGAAAAGGGAAACCAGAATGTATGGTTCTGGTTGCAAAGCTTTGCAACCAAAAATGCCTTGAATATAAATAAATGATCACAAAGCAAATACAACTTAATATATTCACGTTGTTGACTTGTATAGATCAATCTCCTAAAGTTATTCTTTTGATAAAATGGTTGTGTTTGTAGCAGTGCCCTTTGTTTTTGTTTTCCCAGAGATATAAATAGTGACTCTTATATTGACTTTCAAGAATTCAGGTTTTCCCTGGTGATGGATGTACTTCAAAGGCCTCAGGACATAGTCCCTTCAACTCACTTGGTTTTAAATGTGCTTGTGAACATTAAGCAAGGCACAATGCTCCCAGGGATGACTATTAGACATCAGAAGGCCTCCCTTCTGTGTGTGTATGTGCATTCTTATTTTATGGCTATAAAGAAAGAGATTTAATAAAAATAGGGCCTTGGTATTAAAATGTGAGAGCCTTGTAGGGATGTATGACTAGATGTATGATTCCATTGCACTGAGGAGGATACCTTTTGAATATGGATTAAGTGATTTTCTTTTTAAGTTTCATCCTAATTTAAAGGCGAGGCAATCGTGTCACTTAGCTTCATTAATGTCTGTTGGGATTATGGGGATCAGAGAAGAAGTAGACAGAGAGGCTTGAAGGGTCCACGTTGAGGTGTAGCATTCAATACACCTGGGGAAGCCCTCAGGTGGTGCAAACCATTAAGTACCCAGCAGCTAACTGAAAGGATGGATGCTTGGGTCCACCCAGGGATACCTCAGAAGGTTCTGGCATTAACTTTTGAAACAATTAATTATTGAAAACCCTGTGGAATATAGTCCTATTTGGAAACCCGTGGGGTTGTCATGAATCAGAGATGGCCAATGGCAGTTGGATTCCACTGGCTGGTAAGGAACCTGAGTTGACACATTGAGTTTGTTAGCCCACTGTTAGTACTACCCCTGACTGTGGAGATGGGATGGGAAAAATACCTCACTGCTTTTCAAGTGGCACTTAGTGTATAGCTTAAACACAAATTGCTCATGTACTCAATGTCTTAGGTATCCAGAATGTTTAATCCTCTTATCAATCATGCTTTAAAACCAAATTGTAGAATTAATTAGCTAAAGAATCCTTAATTTGGATTTTTATAAAAGATAAAGAGATACAATTTAATTTGCCAAGCTTTTTAATGTGTGTTTTAATTTTGGAAAATTTTTAAGGAAAAATTGAATGAAAAGTACCATGAACACTTCACTAAATCTATCTATTGTTAACATTTTGCCTTCTCTGATTCATCTTTCAAGCTCTCATTGTCTCTCTCTTTCCATCTCTGTTGAACCAAGACCATAATTTATGTACTTACTTGTTCTCTTCTATAACATACACAGGACAGTGTCTACCACCACCATTAAACTTACCAAGTAAAGTTCAATATTTCTATGCCTTTGTGTCTTACAAAATATACCCATCTTAAAATTTAAAGCCAGAGAACTATGTTTAAAAATATATTTGAGTTAATTCTTTAACCTGTGTAAATATATTAAAACTTTATAATGATCTAGTCATTTGCTTTCATTTGTATTCTCTTTTGTCATTTAGTGTATAATTTTATTTTTTAAAGAACTAAAAATTTCAAAAGTAAAATCTGTAAATAAGATAAACTCAGATTCTGATATGTTTCAATTTGTATTAATGGTTTTGGATTTGAGGAGAATGTTACTGGCTTGATAGTTAACTTGTAAATGCTCTTCTGTCACCTCTATTCTTAGAGTTATCGAGGAGGAAGATGGCATATTGTGATGGCATATTACTATAGATTCTTATGATTTTTTTAAGACTTTCATCTTCCCATTACATAAGGACATTGTTAAAATTAATATAATTACAGGAAAGCATCGACAGTATCTTACATTCAGAAATACACCTAAGAAGAAATGTAAATTTATCTATTCAGGAAAGTATTGCTAAATTAGCTGTAAGGTGTTCACCAGATAGAACTCCGCTTTCAATGATCACTTGTAATAGGGTATTCTGACCTTGAAGTGTAAAATACTGTTTGGGATTCTTAGTCTAAAGAGATTTTCTTGAAAAACAAAGATAGTTTCTGTAAGAAATGAATCCTCTTATAGTTTACTGAGTTTAACGAATAATATATAAATTCTAATCATGCCTCCTCTAAGAGAAAACAATATTTTGATAAGAAAAATGATATGTCTGATATATCACAGATTAGAGGACATTAAAAAAAAGAATGCTTTATATGAAATTAAATGCTTGGATAGACTTAGCTTGAGTGAAATATAAAGGTTTTAACTTTTGATCTCAGCAGGCTGGCCTTTGCCCCTCACACGCTAATGCCTTGACATATAGAATTAAATAGCTTTTTCTCCCAACAGAGGGAAAATTACAATTCCATTGCTAGCTGCCAAAGTCACTTGCATCAAAGTAGCAAAGCTTTGCAGCCAAAAATGCCTTGAATATAAATAAATGATCACAAAGCAAATACAACTTAATAAATTCACGTTGTTGACTTGTATAGATCAATCTCCTAAAGTTATTCTTTTGATAAAATGGATGTGTTTGTAGCAGGGCCCTTTGTTTTTGTTTTCCCAGAGATATAAATAGTGACTCTTATATTGACTTTCAAGAATTCAAGTTTTCTCTGGTGATGGATGTACTTCAAAGGCCTCAGGATATATTCCCTTCAACTCACTTAGTTTTAAATGTGCTTGTGAACATTAAGCAAGGCACAATGCTCCCAGGGATGACTATTAGACATCAGAAGGCCTCCCTTCTGTGTGTGTATGTGCATTCTTATTTTATGGCTATAAAGAAAGAGATTTAATAAAAATAGGGCCTTGGTATTAAAATGTGAGAGCCTTTTAGGGATTATCTATTCTCAAAAGCTGGATATGATATCCTGAGGGGTATATGATGTATGCCCCAAACACAAATGCACTAGATATAAAGATCATTTAATGCCCTGAAGTACCCAGTGCTCTTTGACAATAGTTACTTATAACTTTATTTTCACAAGGAAATAGATATTAATAGAATTGGGGAAATGGTTAGAAATGTTATAAAGATAAACATTGAACCTTCAAATTCTTGGAAGTAACTTAATGGAAAATATGTGAGAGACAAGGCCTAAGAAAAGTCAAAACTTTGTTTTGTTCCATTTTCCTATGTCTATTAGAGGGTAGAATGATAAAATCATACTCAAACCTCATAGTGGTTGGACAGATATGAATGGTTTGTTTAGGAAAAGGTTTTTGGGTGTGTGGGTGCATATAAATTATTCAAATCATTTTTGGGGGGCCTCAAAAGAAGACTAGCTTCATCGAATTCACCATTGACTTTTTCCAATGAATAGATAAGATGTCCTTACTGGAAAAGCACAAAGCTTTATTTAAAGAAACTAAAGAAGACTTAAATAAATATAGTGATATATCATCCTGGGTAGCCCAATGTTTAAGGGCTTTAGTACTAGCAAAGGATTGGTTGCTTA